GATAATCATAGCGGTCACATATCTCTCGCAGCCTACAACTATTGCAGAGATAATCATATCATTATGCTGTCTATACCACCTCATACGTCACATAGGACACAACCATTAGACGTTTCATTTTATGGCCCCCTTAAAGCTCAATATAGAAATGAGTGCAATCTTTACATGAAATCCCACGCAGGGGAGAAAATAACACCATAAGAAGTTGCTTCGTTGTTTCACAAAGCATTTTCTAATGTTGCATCAGTTGGTAAAGGAGAATCAGGTTTCAGATCAACAGGAATATTTCCAATCGATCCCTTTATGTTTAAAGATGAAGATTTCTTGGCAGCCAATGTTTTAAATGATCCCGTAGAAGTAGCAGTCATCGATAATTTTGAAATGGAATCTCTCAATTCTGAAAAGAAGGTGGATCAAATTCCTTCTACTACAGTAGATAAAGCTTCACATATCATTGAAGAAGCAGCGATTCCATTGACTTCTGAAGAAACTCAACTTTCTAACGATGAGGTGGCTGTGGTTCCATCAACTTCTAAAATACCCCTGTCTTCTCTTAACGTAAGTGTTGATAAACTACTTCCAAAGCCCAAAAAGTTAATAGAGTACAAAAGTCAAGAGGAAGGCCAAAACACTCCACGATTTAAACATCTACCCCCCTTAAACTGCTGCTGGAAGAGAAGGAAGAGAAGAGAAAAGCAAAATTGGAGAAGGAAAAAATAAGAAAGATGGGCGAAGGAAATTAACCGAAGCCAAAAGAAAGATAATGCACTCGCCTGAAAATTTGGAGAAGGAAAAAAATAAGCGAAGGAAATTAACAGAAGTCAAAAGAAAAATCCTGCATTCGCTTAAAAATTGAAATAAAAATGATAAGTCAACAAGTACGAGCCAAAAAATAATTGAGAAGAGAGCAAAATTAAGGAGGATGGAATCAAGATTATCATCATCATCCGAGTCAGATATTGACATGAATGATGTTTGCAGTGACACTAAAAATAATGATGTTAATTTGAATTTATGTGTCATATGTGATGACTATGGTGCAGACAATGAGTTATGGTACAGGTGTACTATTTGTGGCTTATGAGCACACTCCCAATGTTCTGGAAAGGACTCGCCGACAGCTTATATTTGTGACCATTGCATTCATGTTGACCGGTAATGCCCGGAGACATGACCGGTTTTGTACGAGAGCAAGGATAATACCGGTCAAATAGGTTTTTTTTTTCAAAATTAATATTAGGTAAAAATATTAGATTATAGTTTTTTCCTGTGGTTTAATCCAAAGAATAAAGGTTATGTTATATGTTTTTACTTTTTGAATAAATATATTGTTTTTACTTTTTTTTAATGACATTTTTGCTTAAGTGACCGCCATTACCCCATTTTACCCTACCGCTAGCGACATCTATGTAATTTTATTTCACCTGCTAGATAGAGCTCTGGCACTTAGCGCTTTTTGTAGGACATTAGCCTTGGCACGTACAACCTTTTGCAGCAAACAACTCGATTTTGTTAAAATTGGCACCTAACCCCTTTTGCATTCCCACTCTTTAATTGTATTTACTTTTCCGTAGAGTTGTAATGCCCAAACAAGATCTATAATTAACGCATTAGCAATAAAAGGGGTACCAGTAGTCCTATGTCAGTAGATAAAAGCCTAGAAGAAAGGGTAACAACATCATCTCTAGGCGAAGCTACACTGACAGCTAGTGTCCCCAGGGAGGAGTACTATTGCCCCTCCTCTGGTCAGTCCTAGTGGACGAACTTATAAAAAGGTTAATATCTGCAGATTTTTACTGCCTAGGGTATGCCAATGACCTGGCGATCGTCGTAAGAGGCAAGTTCGCAGGTACAATATCGGAGCGCACACAATCCGCTCTGAACATTGTGGACGAGTGGTGCAGAGAGAAGGAACTAACAGTAAACCCTCACAAACAACAGTTAAGCAGTGATGTCTCCGGTTACGTCATGGATGGGTGACCGCTGGGAGGTTCCACCATGGACCGTGTCACCATGGGATTCATCCGACTAGCGTTTAACTATCGACGACGTGGAATGAATGAGAATGAATGAGGGTGTGAATGGGAAAGTAGTAGGACCTTCAAATGGTGGTACCATAGCCTCCTAAAATTACAAGCCATGAAGCGTGAAATCTGGCATCACCGCGGGTAGTCCTATGGGACCACACGACACAAAAACGCCCCCGATATCCGAAATCACCGAAATAGGGATAGATACAATTGCATATGATTCGACAAAAGTGTGAAGTGAAAACTGTCGTTCTGTATGTTAGTTTATTTCATTTAAATAATATTAAATAGCTACTATTGAAAGTATTATAAGTAAATTATTTATAAGTTTATTCTGAAAAGGTAAGTTTCTATTAGTACTAATGTACCATGTACCTCATTTTTAAAAAAATATTCAAGATAATATGTTATCGACATTTCTAACCTCAATATTTTAATTTTAGATGCCAAGACACTGCTGCGTACCAAAGTGCAATTCAAATTACGCCAGTACTTTAAAAAAGGAAGTAACACAAAGTACATTTTCATTTCCTAAAAAGGAAGAAATTAGAAAACAATGGATTAGTGCTATACATCGTAAATACTATGTTGTTAACTCAAATTCAGTAGTGTGTAAAAAACATTTTGATCAAACTGATATTATAGTAAATGAATTCTACATTGATAAAAATGGAATTAAACATGAAATTAAACTGAAGTATCCTAAATTGAAAAAAGGTGCAATTCCAAGAATTTTTGAAAACCATCCTCAGTATTTTTCAAATCCAAAAAATGCAGAAAGAAGAAATCCTGAACAAAGAAGAGCTGAAATATTTGAAAGACAAGAAAATGAAGTTGCAGAATTTTTAGATGCTGATCTAATAAAAATTTTTAGTGAATTATGTGGACAAGTGAATGTGAAAGTTATTTTAAATAATTGGAATGTAAAAATTTACCAGAAAGGATTTACTTTTACATGCTTAATATTAGTACTCCAGATTGTTCCGATGAGTGTCCTAAAATTATTTCTAGCATAAGTGTTGGTATGGATTTAACTGTGTCAGTGTTTACTAATGATGTGCAACTATCACCACGAGATTTAAAATGGATTTTACCACATGAATGCAAATTAGGTAGGTGGTCGCAACTCCAGAATTTATTATCAAGATATTCTTATAGCTTAAAAAATTCTGTGGACGTTAATTTTTATATTTTAAAGGCTTCAAATATTATTGATGCCATTATTAATTATTTAAGGTGAGTACAGTACCCCCTTATAATTTTCGGACAAGCCTATCTCAAAAAGTATTTTTTTTTTAAAGTTAAAAATTTGGCAAAATAAATTAGGCAATAATATCTAGAATATGCTTATATTTTAAAATTTAATTATTTTTAGTTTCCAAGAAAAAACATCAAAGGGCTTTAAATTTTGAAATATCATAATGAAAATAAATGCATTCCTTAACAGCAGTATTCTTAATATAATCCCTAAATTTAAGCTCTTAATCTCTTGTAAATTATTTTTTAAAATTCGCCGAAATTAGTGGCTAAAACACCTCGTTAAGTGCTGCTTTCTGGTGTAAAGCGACTGTAACTATCGTATCGTACACTTTGAGTCATCATTCGTAATATATTAGAAATTGTTAGTTATTATTGAAAAGTTGAGAGAAACGTACATGAATTTCCATGTTTACAACATTTTTTCTACTCTTATATATCCGTTCAGTGTATTGGTATCTGAGATCATAAACTTTTATATGTAAGTACTTACAATATAATGTAGTTCAGTATCATTATATCTTATATCATTTTATATTATATTAGACATTGTTGATTATTATTGAAAATTTTAAGAAAACGTATGAATTTGCATGTTTCCAACATTTTTTTTTTCTACTCTTATACATTCGTTCATTGTACATTTAAGACCAGAAACTTTTATATGTACCTATTACACTATAACATAGTTCAGTATTATTATATCTTATTATATCACTTTATATTTAGACATTGTTAGTTATTATTGAAAATTTGAGAAAAACATCTATGAATTTTCATGTTTCCAACATTTTTTCTACTCTTATACATTCGTTCATTGTATATATGAGACCATAAACATATGTACTTACAATATAATATAGTTCAGTATTATATTTTATCTCACTTTATTATTAGACAATGTTAGTTATTATTAAAATTTGAGAAAAATATGTATGAATTGTGGATCAAAGGACTTCATAAGACGAAGATTGGGAAAAAATACTGTTGTCAATTTTTTGTTTTTTATTAATAACATTAAAGTTAGTCAATAGCTGCTAAATAAAAATTAAAAAAGATAAAATGGTACTTTTAACTATTTTGTCTTTCCCTATTTATATATGTATAAATAGATATTTATCAATGTGAAATTAAATTTTATAAATACTTATGAGTTGTTTTATTTATTTGCTTAACCTGTATATTCTATAATTTGTTTATAAATAATATAAACGACATATACATTCATTTTTAAGAACGTGAGTATCCGTTTCATTTCGGAATCTAACCCTATTTTAAATGATCTTGGAATTAAATTTTCAAAAATTTTTACCAATACCTATTATGACCCAATTATTTTTAAGATTTTTGTATAGTTTTTCTCTCTATGGTTAGGTATTCAATACAACATTGAATAGATAAAACGGTTAAGTCAATTCACGTGAGTTCAGAGCACACAACACAGGACTACTTCAGTCAGCTGATGCGCCGTTGCCTTTTTCAGTGCATGGCTTGTAGTTTTAGGTGGCTATGGTGGTACAATAAGCCGCAGGCTGCAGTGCTGCCTGACTACAGACAGATTAGAGTGTAGCACGGGAGGTCTGAAGGGTGTAAAACCCTTACAAAACCACAATGGTCAACTTTACAAAACGAAAAGTACACTTCAAAACGCTGAATAATGGGTACAAAAAAAGTTTAGGAATACTACATCAATAAAAAAAATTCTAAACCACATAATTATTATATTTGCAGCCTTAAATAAAATTGTGCAAATAAAATTTTCTCGGCAAATACACTTCGCTCAAAAATATCATACTCTTCATTACGGCTTCAATTCCAGCCTTGTACTGATGTTCGTACATGACTTTTAATTCCGAAGCAATTGCGGGATTATTTACCACGTGCGGGGTTTTCAATAGGCTTTGAACCAATTTCAATTCTCTAGATGTCAAAGGTTGAGTCGTTACGTCAAAATCCTTTATATCCGATGGATACATTCCTAACCACTTTGCATTAGGTACCGCCAGAAGATGGGAGACATGTGCGTTATTCTTAAAAGAAATATATTCATTAAAATAGTTTGGAAAAATTCGCCGAAGTCCGAACAGAACAAATTTTTAGGAATTGCTGCAGAACCCTTCTAAACGGTATTAAAAACAATATCCAAATGTTACTTACGACTGAACCAAATCTGTAATTAAGCATTATCTGGATGCCGTCTGGATCGGCGTCGACTAGAATAAAAACAGGAATTGACATCACAATCCAGAGTTTTCTGAGGAAAAGTTGAGTATTGAGATCGGGAAAACCTTTTCCGGTTATCATAATGAAAGGTCTGGTTAATTTGCTTGGTAAATTTTCTTCTATAAGTTTATGGAATATAGATTCTTTTTCTACTACCAATATAAAATAAGCAATGGATTGGATTTCTATAATTTCTTCGATGTCTTGTGGTATTAAAGTTCCTGTCAAAATAATTAATAAATAAAAATTAATGAAAAACCTCGTTATGTATTTGGAATCTTCATTTGTAATTGATACCTGGTATTTTGCAATTTATCGTTTCTCCACTGGAAAGAACGATCTTCAAGTCGCCATAAACCAATCCTTTTTGTGCCACAATATTTAAAGCCCACATCCCTACGTCTAAGAGACAGCTTACTGCGTTTATGGCTCTATCAATTACTGACTGGTTACTGATCATGTCCTTCAGTTGATAAAATAATTCCCTAGAGGATAAAATAAATAAAAAATATTGTTATAACTTTAGAGTAGAAGAAATAAGAATATTCTAAATGACTCATGACAACGTGAATCTAATTCTTAATGATAGAACCTTCTTATTCTAATAAGACGATATGTGATGCCAAAGAAGGCAGCAGAGCGCCAAGGGAATTTTAAGTAAACACCTAGTCATATTAATAGGCTATTTTAATCCCCTTTTCCAAAATAGGATGCTTCTATGCCGCTTGTTTTTAGGCTATTTTAATACCCTATTCCAAAATCCTATGCTGCTCGTTTTATACAAAAATCAATTTGCTCTGTCAGCTTCGTATTTTTATATTTTTTTTTTTTATTTAAAAGCAACCACACCCTATTTTAAGGCTTTTTTTTTTAAATTGCTATTTTTAAAAAATACAGGTTGCTTTGATAGTATTGAACTAATCCAGCAGAACAACCTCACCATATTTTAAGGCTGTTATGTTTTCATTAGGCTCTCATTAGGCTATTATAAGGGTCTAATCAGATTATTATTAGGCTAATATTCGGTTATTATTAGACTGTTATCAGGCTATTATTAGAGTATTATTAGGCTATTATCAGACTATTATAAGGCTATTATTTCTTTATTATTAGGCTATTATTTGGCAATTTTTAGGCTTCTGGTAGGCTAATATTAGACTATTAGGTTATTACTATGCTATTATTAGATTTATATAGGACTGTTATTAGGCTATTATCAGGCTATTATTAGGCTAATATTCGGCTATTATCAGACACTTTATTTGGCTATTTTTCTGCTTTTAGTAGGCTAATATTAGACTATTAGCCTATTATTAGTCTATTATTATGCTATTATTATGCTATTATTAGGTTATTATAGGGCTGTTATTAGGCTATTAATAAGTTTTTATAGGGCTATTATTAGGCTATTATTAGACTATTACCAGACTATTATTAGACTAGACTATTATAAGGTTATTATTATGCTCTTGAAATTTTCGAAAAAAAAATTGTTTCTAAAAGTTACTGGTTGCCTTATTAGCATCGAAATTAACCAGCAGAGCCTCTTGGCTTTTAAGGTTTTTTTTTTTTTTCTAAAAACAACCGCACCTCATTTGTAGGCTCTTGAAATATATATTTTTTTTTAATTCGAAACTTTTAATAATTTGCATGTTGCTCTGCTAGCATCAAACAAAACAAGCAGAGCACCTTGATTTTTAAGATTTTTTTTATAAAAACAACTACATCATATTTTAAGGTCTTTATAAAAATAACCAAACGACCGAACGGTTTTAGGTCTTTTTTTCTATAACTATTCACATTGTCTTTTTGGGCTCTTTTATGAAACATTTTGGAAAAATTTGCCATTTCTTTTAAATATACTGGAGCAGGAGCAACACTTTTTTCTAAAAATAAATGCATTTCTAGGCTCTTCAAATAACATAACTATAAAAAAAGCTCTTTGCTTTGCTAGCTTCGATCAAAACCTTGGGTTTTTAAGGCTTTTATAAGAACTACAGTCTAAAAAGGTAGTGTGGTAAAAAAAATTAAAAACGAGGGTAACAAAACCCCGTACTTAGAAAAAAGCAATTTTTTTGGAAAGCGATGTTTTCAAGAGCCTAAAAATAGCCTTAAAATAGCCTAAAAATGTAGTGTCGTTGTTATAAGAAAAAAAAATTATAGAACCGAGATACTATGCTGCTTTCGCTCGAAGCTAGCAAAAACAACAATTTTTTTTCTAAAAGATTTATGATAATTTAAGGGGCCTAAGCATAGCTTAGAAAAAAGTGTTGCTTCTGCTCAGTATATTTAAAACAAAATGGCAAATGTTTTCGAAATGTTTTATAGTATTACAAGAGCCTAAAAATGATAGCAAATCATAGCAAAGGAATCCGTATTTTTTAAAAATAAATTTTTTCAAAGGTTTGACAACATTTTAAGACCATAAAAATGGCTTCAAAGTATGGTGTGATTGTTTTTAGAAACACCTTAAAAACGTAGATTATCTACTGGATTCGTTCAAAGCCATAAGAAAGCATCTTGTTTTCTAAGTTTTTTTTTTTTCTTAAAACAACTACTTTTTAGGCTTCTACTTTTTGCTTTGCTAGCTTCGGACGAAACCTCGGGTTAACATTTTTTTTCTAAGAAACACCACACCACACTTTCAGGCAAATAGCAAATTTCTTCGAATTTATTTAGAGAGTCTAAAAATGTGATGTGTGATAAAAAAAATTAAAAAACGAATAGCAATTTTTTGAAAACCGATATATTTTAAGAGCCTAATAATAGCCTGAAAATTTGGAAAAACCAATAAGCAACGCATGCTTCAATTTGGTTCAAAGATGTGATGAGATTAAAAAAAAACGGCTTTTTTCGATGCTTTCGTATTTTTTTAAAAAAGCAAATATTTTCAACAGGTTTTATAACATTTCAAGAGCCTCAAAATAGCATTAAAATAAGGAATGATTGTTTTTAGAAACAATCTCAAAGCCTAGATTCTCTACTTGCTTCGTTCTAAGCAGCAGAGCATCTCAGGTTTTTAAGATTTTTTTCAAAAACAACTACACGACAATTTTAAGCAAAATCAAATTTCTTCGGATTGTCTCATATTATTTAAAGAGTCTAAAAATCAGATGTGGTATAAAAACTTAAAAAAGAGGGTAAGTAGAACCCGTATTTTTTAAAAATAGCAATTTTTTTGAAAAGGAATATAATTTTTCAAATATTTAAAGATTCTAAAAATAGCTTAAAAATTTGCCCTCGGCTTAGCACGCGTAGTGTCGTGTTTATATTATCAAAAAATACATGATTAATAATTTTTATTAATTTTTATTAATTTTTATTAATTTTTATTAATTTTTATTAATTTTTATTAATTTTTATTAATTTTTATTAATTTTTATTAATTTTTATTAATTATTATTAATTTTTATTAATTTTTATTAATTTTTATTAATTTTTACTAATTTTTACTAATTTTTACTAATTTTTATTAATATTTATTAATTTTTATTAATTTTTATTAATTTTTATTAATTTTTAATAATTTTTATTAATTTTTATTAATTTTTATTAATTTTTATTAATTTTTATTAATTTTTATTAATTTTTATTAATTTTTATTAATTTTTATTAATTTTTATTAATTTTTATTAATTTTTATTAATTTTTATTAATTTTTATTAATTTTTATTAATTTTTATTAATTTTTATTAATTTTTATTAATTTTTATTAATTTTTATTAATTTTTATTAATTTTTATTAATTTTTATTAATTTTTATTAATTTTTATTAATTTTTATTAATTTTTATTAATTTTTATTAATTTTTATTAATTTTTATTAATTTTTACTAATTTTATTAATTTTTATTAATTTTTATTAATTTTTATTAATTTTTATTAATTTTTATTAATTTTTATTAATTTTTATTAATTTTTATTAATTTTTATTAATTAATTTTTATTAATTTCTATTAATTATTTTTATTAATTTTTATTAATTTTTACTAATTTTTACTAATTTTTACTAATTTTTACTAATTTTTATTAATATTTATTAATTTTTATTAATTTTTATTAATTTTTATTAATTTTTAATAATTTTTATTAATTTTTATTAATTTTTATTAATTTTTATTAATTTTTATTAATTTTTATTAATTTTTATTAATTTTTATTAATTTTTATTAATTTTTATTAATTTTTATTAATTTTTATTAATTTTTATTAATTTTTATTAATTTTTATTAATTTTTATTAATTTTTATTAATTTTTATTAATTTTTATTAATTTTTATTAATTTTTATTAATTTTTATTAATTTTTATTAATTTTTATTAATTTTTATTAATTTTTATTAATTTTTATTAATTTTTATTAATTTTTATTAATTTTTATTAATTTTTATTAATTTTTATTAATTTTTATTAATTTTTATTAATTTTTATTAATTTTTATTAATTTTTATTAATTTTTATTAATTTTTATTAATTTTTATTAATTTTTATTAATTTTTATTAATTTTTATTAATTTTTATTAATTTTTATTAATTTTTATTAATTTTTATTAATTTTTATTAATTTTTATTAATTTTTATTAATTTTTATTAATTTTTATTAATTTTTATTAATTTTTATTAATTTTTATTAATTTTTATTAATTTTTATTAATTTTTATTAATTTTTATTAATTTTTATTAATTTTTATTAATTTTTATTAATTTTTATTAATTTTTATTTATTTTGATTTATTTTTATTTATTTTTATTTATTTTTATTTATTTTTATTTATTTTTATTTATTTTTATTTATTTTTATTTATTTTTATTTATTTTTATTTATTTTTATTTATTTTTATTTATTTTTATTTATTTTTATTTATTTTTATTTATTTTTATTTATTTTTATTTATTTTTATTTATTTTTATTTATTTTTATTTATTTTTATTTATTTTTATTTATTTTTATTTATTTTTATTTATTTTTATTTATTTTTATTTATTTTTATTTATTTTTATTTATTTTTATTTATTTTTATTTATTTTTATTTATTTTTATTTATTTTTATTTATTTTTATTTATTTTTATTTATTTTTATTTATTTTTATTTATTTTTATTTATTTTTATTTATTTTTATTTATTTTTATTTATTTTTATTTATTTTTATTTATTTTTATTTATTTTTATTTATTTTTATTTATTTTTATTTATTTTTATTTATTTTTATTTATTTTTATTTATTTTTATTTATTTTTATTTATTTTTATTTATTTTTATTTATTTTTATTTATTTTTATTTATTTTTATTTATTTTTATTTATTTTTATTTATTTTTATTTATTTTTATTTATTTTTATTTATTTTTATTTATTTTTATTTATTTTTATTTATTTTTATTTATTTTTATTTATTTTTATTTATTTTTATTTATTTTTATTTATTTTTATTTATTTTTATTTATTTTTATTTATTTTTATTTATTTTTATTTATTTTTATTTATTTTTATTTATTTTTATTTATTTTTATTTATTTTTTATTTATTTTTATTTATTTTTATTTATTTTTATTTATTTTTATTTATTTTTATTTATTTTTATTTATTTTTATTTATTTTTATTTATTTTTATTTATTTTTATTTATTTTTATTTATTTTTATTTATTTTTATTTATTTTTATTTATTTTTATTTATTTTTATTTATTTTTATTTATTTTTATTTATTTTTATTTATTTTTATTTATTTTTATTTATTTTTATTTATTTTTATTTATTTTTATTTATTTTTATTTATTTTTATTTATTTTTATTTATTTTTATTTATTTTTATTTATTTTTATTTATTTTTATTTATTTTTATTTATTTTTATTTATTTTTATTTATTTTTATTTATTTTTATTTATTTTTATTTATTTTTATTTATTTTTATTTATTTTTATTTATTTTTATTTATTTTTATTTATTTTTATTTATTTTTATTTATTTTTATTTATTTATTTTTATTTATTTTTATTTATTTTTATTTATTTTTATTTATTTTTATTTGTTTTTATTTATTTAAATTTATTTATTATTACGATACTCATCATTTTCCCTCCGAAAGTGTGAAAATTAAAAAACCTTGAAATACATCATTATTTACTTATGATGAGTAGCTACAATTTAAATTTCTACCTTTAAAAAACAAAAGTCTCATACAAACTTTCACCCCCGTTCCTCCCCTTAAAATGTAAAAATCCAAAATCCCTGAAATATGTGTATTCATTTATGATGAATAGGTACAATTACAATTTTCAAGTTCCTCTCTTACAAACTTGTATCCCCTTCTCCCCTTTTCCCCTTGTTCCTATTTCCCCCTTAAAATATAAAAATTAAAAAACCCTGAAACACGTCAATATTTATTTATGCTTAGTAGCAATATTTCAAATTTTCATGTTTCAATACCACTATGCAAAAAACAAAAACAAATTTAACCAACGGAAATTGTATGTTATATTCTAGACTATAATCTATCTCTGTGCCAAATTTTATCCAGGTCCGTTCAGCCGTTCGGGCGTGATTGAGCAACAAACATTCATCTTTCCATCCAAAATTTCAAAAAGTTTTATAATATTTTTAGAGACCAAAAATGTGGTGAGGTTGTTTGTAGAAAAAAAAAACTTAAAAAACCGTTTTTTAATGCTAGAAAGCAACCTGTATTTTTTATAAATAGCAATTTTTTTTAAAAAGATTTTATAACATTTCAAGAACTCAAAAATAGCCTTAAAATAAATATAGTGTTCGCTAGTGAATTCGTTCGAAGCGCCTTGAATTTTGAAAAAAAAACGAGAAGCATACAATCTGTGAAAAGGAGTGGCGCATGATCAAATTAAACAATAACACATAAATTCGTATTTTTTTTCGTACATGAATATTGTACTTTTTAGTGAATACAAGTTAGCTCGATAATATTTATCAAATATGATAGAATCCTTTACTACTAAATGCTAGGAATTAAACTGCAAACAGCTAAAATTCAGCATACAATAAAGTCACTATCTATTATTATTTTGAATGATTAAAATCGTCTCTTCTCATAAATAAAATTTGATACATTAATAAAAAAAAGTTTATCTTTAAGTTAAATGTAAATATAATCTTACCTTTTTGTTAGTTTAGTATTAGTTTCTAGAAGAGTTTGAACTTTTTTTAGTATGTATAAAATTAACTTAAACTTATTCTGACTGTTCTGTGCATTTGAATTAATTAAAGTCATTGCTGGATCCTCCGATTTAAATCGCAATCTACAAAAATAATCATATTGTTGGTGTTAGGTAATCACCTACATCTCTGTTACATTATCTAAAGTACTAAATCATTTTCAAATCAAGCAAGAAGATAAGCCATTAATGTGTATTAAAGAAGATTAACAATATATTGACAAAGGTAAATCATTCTCTCAAAAGACACACAACACACAATAAACACCCTTAAGAATGAACTGAGGGAGTACACAATCACAGGGAAGGAAACAGTAAGGGAACTCTTTAGGATTCACTTCCCTGGTGCACAAACCATAGCACACACCGGCTAACCGGAATCTAAACAGACTGGAAGCACATAATAGAGCCAACAGGGAAGATTGGAGGATAGCCAAACAAGTGGTGAACTAGGGTACACTGAAATGGGCAATTATCTCATTCGAACCATATTATACACCATCGGGCATGGACGGGATTTATCCAATAATGTTACAAAGACGTCCTGATATTATATACAGCAGACTCTGTAACATACTCATAAGTAGCCTGGCCTTTGGACACATACCAAAAGCTTGGAGAAATATTAAGGTAACTTTTACACCAAAACCTGAGAAAATAGGACAGGAAACGGCAAAGTCTCTAAGACCAATAAGTCTTATATCCTTCGTACTTAGGACTTTGGAAAAACTGCTAGAGAGGCATATTAGAGACGGGATATTGGTTCAGAGACCAATATACCAAGACCAATACGTCTATAGTGCAGGGAAATCAACTGAAACTGCTCTCCATCAATTAATAAAAGGAGTGAACACACTGGAAAACAATGAGGTAATGCTGGGAGCATTCTTGGATATCGAGGGTGTATTTGACAATTCCTCGGTATTTCAAGCCGAAGTTAACGCACTTTTGCAATGTGCAAAAACGAACAATAAAAGAGCTGTCGAAAATTAGCATATTCAAATAATGACAGACAGCCAAGCGAGACTTAGGGCCATATCAAGTCAAAAAGTTACGTCGAGGCTGGTATGGGAATGCATCGAAGAACTAAGAATACTGGCAGACTGAGACAGAGTAAAACTATTTAGGATGCCAGATCACCAAGGGATCGAAGGCAACGAAGAGGCTGATGAACTTGCAAAAAGAGGGTCAGAAGAAACACCGGAACCAGACACAAACCGAGGAGTACCAAAAAGTACAGTCCGGGGTTTCATAAACGACTGGATTTGGGAACAACATATTAGCTATTGGGAAGCACCCCTAAACAGGCACATGGAAAAGCCTTCATAGGCAGGCAATGTCCCAAAAGACCTGGAGAACTACTCTTTATGAATAGGAACCAGTTAAAAATGATAATAGGGTTCATGACTGAGCACACCCCAGTAAAGGGACACTTAAACAAAATTGGCATGTACAATGGGGAACTCATATGCCAACTAAACTACGCCGCAGATGAAGTGGGACAGCCAAAAAATTGCCTAATTTTGACTAGCTGTAACTTCGACATTTCTTTGCCGATGTTAGATTTTCAGCCAGAGGTGGAAAGCGCCATCCTTGCTGTTTGCGTCAGTGGCATTGAATATATTTTTTTTAATAGCTTCTTGTTGTACAGGGTGTGAATGTAAGGCAGCGAAAAATGTCCGTTTTTTGGCAAAGAATTTGGAAAATGTGGGGGGCCAAATCAAGTTCTTTCTGATGTTGAGTGGATCACTAGGTCGACACCTCGGGATGTCTTTGCCATTTTTTTGATACTTTGCGTTGCTATGGAAATATCGCCATTTTATGAAATTCCATATTTCTTTTAGAATTAGCCTTTTTTTAATTAAAGAATAACAGATACCGACTAAACTTCATCAAGGAATAACGTATAAAGAAAATGGTCAACACCAGCGGCATGCAAAAAGGGGTTTATGAAATTTAAAAAACGAAAACTTGATTTTATTTGAAATTTTTAACACTTTTGGTAAGCGTTACAGTTTAAAAGGTACCATAACTGTAATGCGTTTGATTTTGACAAATTCAGAGAAATACAAAAGTAAAGCTACTCACCCTGTAAGCGCTTACTGATAGTGTCAGTAAGCAATAATAGGTACTTACCATTTTTGCATTTGTAAGTCGGGACATTTGCTTTGACGAAACTTTATTTCTGCAATTTTATCAAGAAGGCGACAAAAATATTACCATAGAGATAAGATTTTGACGTTAGATTGCATAAGTCAAAACAAAAATAAATTGCTATTGTCCAAATGGCGCGACTTACGGCTGCAGATTTGGTGAATATTTTAAGATTGCGGCAGAGAAATCACACAATAAGAGAGATTTCTGATTTTCTTAATGTCAAGAAATCATCCGTTGGAAGAGCGTTGCAGAGAGAAGGTAACAACCCAGACAGCACACCAAATCCTTTGGATATCTACTTGACATCCCAATATCCACTGAATGTCCAGTCCATGGTGGATATCTATTTTATATCCATGAGATGTAATTTATAGACATGCAAATGTCCATAAATAATAGTAATTATATAGCAAATTATTAAAAAATTACGCCATTGTGGCTAATAGTACCGTTCAGATATTTAAAATTAAATTTTTTTAAGGTGTATTCAATATCCCATGGACATCCACTAAATATATCAAAGTGTAGGCGCGAACGCAAACCATGGTGCATATCCACTAGATGTAATTTTTGATTTTGCTTACTAAGTATAGATGGCGATACCACTTTCGCTCGTGCTTATGCTCAACCCGCCGTAATTGAGTTCGATCGAAATTTTTTTCCCAATCAGACTCCATTAGAGACTGGAGTCGAGAATTTCCATTTATTGCTGAAGAGTGAAGAGTCTTAATAAGGATGACTTTCTCCTTAGTGGGCAAAATCAAAGGCAGAGTGTTGAAAATATTTTTATCTCTGCTATTTTCGTTCGACGTTATTCAATAATCATTGGTTACTTATGAACCTCTACTAAAGATACCCATAAAATATTTTGCTGAATATCCGAATATTTTCTATATCCTGGGATATAGACGGACATTTGGATATCCTGATATCCATATTAGATCCACTGGATATATTGAATATCTCTGGGATTTCTTGTATTGTCTGGAGATACTTATTAGATATTTTGCTGCATATATCCATAGGATTTCTTCTATATTCTGGATATAGACGGACATTTGGATATCCATATTAGATCCACGGGATAATTCTGATATCCTGTGGATGTATTGGATATCCACAAAAGATATTCTGTGGATATTTCTGGGATTTGGTCTGTTGTCTGGGAATGGTACTGCTGCTTACCGACACGGGGGACGATATCGAAAAAGAACTAATCCTCGTCAGGATCGAGCAGTAGTACGGACTGCAATCAGAAACAGAGTTTGGACTGCCAAGAGAATCCGAGCGCAACTGCAGTTAAACGTTTTAGCAGACACTATTAGAGGACGCCTACATGATCAGGGATTAAATGCTCGCCGTCGGCCAAAATGCCCACTTTTAACTGACATTCACCGGGCCAACAGGAGAAGATGGGCCCAAGAACATATAAATTGGGATCGTAGGTGAAGAGACTGTCTTTTCGTTGATGAAAGCTGTTTTAACCTCTACAATTCCGACGGCCGATTGCTATCTTGGCGGAGAAGGGAAGAACGTTATTTAGCAGAAAATATGCGTTCCCAAGTTGCATTTGGCGGTGGTGGATTGACGGTTTGGGGCGGTATTCAACACAACGGAAGGACAGAACTCGTGGTATTTCGGGGTAATGTAAACGGCCAGGTTTACCTGAATGAATGTCTGATTCCGCTAGTTCTCCTGCATGCTCGAAATTATGGCGAGGATTTTGTTCTTATGGACGATAATGCTCGTCCTCATCGAGCATTATTAGTAAACAGATATATACAAGAGCAAAACCTTAATCGTGCTGAATTGCCTCCTAGATCTCCAGACTTGAATCCTATTGAGCACGTCTGGAGCTGGATGAAGTTGGAGTTTTCCCGAAGGGAACGTCAGCCAGAAACTCTAGACGATCTCGAGGAGATGATTTTAGAGCTCTGGGAGGCAGTTCCTATGGAGCTAACTAATAACTTAATTTCGAGCATGCCAAGGCGGTATCAGGCAGTTATTCAGGTTAGAGGAGGTCCAACGCCTTACTAATTAATAATTAACAAATATTTATTAAGGTTAGGTTAGGTTTATTTTAATATTCTAATGAATTCCATGTACACACTTTATAAAATAAAAACCAATAAAAAAAAAGTTTTTTTTTTTTTTTTTAATTACTGAACCCTTTTTGTATGCCTCTGAATTAGTCAAAATCAAACTCATTACAGTTATGACACCTTTTAAACTGTAACGCTTACCAAAAGTGTTAAAAATTTCAAATAAAATCAAGTTTTAGTTTTTTAAATTTCATAAACCCCTTTTTGCACGCCGCTGGTGTTGACCATTTTCTTTACACGTTATTCCTTGATGAAGTTTAGTCGGTATCTGTTATTCTTTAATTAAAAAAAGGCTAATTCTAAAAGAAATATGGAATTTCATAAAATGGCGATATTTCCATAGCAACGCAAAGTATCAAAAAAATGGCAAAGATATCCCGAGGTGTCGACCTAGTGATCCACTCAACATCAGAAAGAACTTGATTTGGCCCCCCACATTTTCCAAATTCTTTGCCAAAAAACGGACATTTTTCGCTGCCTTACATTCACACCCTGTACAACAAGAAGCTATTTAAAAAATATATATTCAATACCACTGACGTAAACAGCAAGGATGGCGCTTTCCACCTCTGGCTGAAAATCTAACATCGGCAAAGAAATGTCGAAGTTACAGCTAGTCAAAATTAGGCAATTTTTTGGCTGTCCCACTTCATCTGCGGCGTAGTTTATGTCACAAGAAATCAGAAACGGCCAAACACATACTGTGCGAATGCGAAGCTATAGATCGCAAAAGACAGGCAATTTTTGGACAACCCCAGGTTGATCCAACAACATATAAAACCCACTCACCCAAGGATCTGTACAAACTTGTACAAGGTACAAAGGTGACAGAATAGGTGCTATGAACTAACATGGAGTAAAACACAATAAGCTAATGGGCTTCAGTGTAATTCGGAGACATAGTCAGACGAGCCTAGGAGAAAAAAGACCAGTCTGGGATGTAAAATCTGGTAATAAGAAACTTCTGAAACACATGACCTAAGATGGCGAAGAAGTTTTCAACTACTGTTCTACCCTAATGTAAATAGCAATCAGTAATGGCATTTGATGTGACTTCTTCGACTCTTAAAAGTAGCTGGTTAATTGAATCGTTTTCTGTAGTCTTTCAAACCATGTGTATGAGTGATATACCTTTATACAAACCTTCGGATATATAAATTATCATAAAGGCAACATATACTGTTTGGAGCAAGCGGATAATTCGAGGAGAGGGGTGAAGGGAACTAGAGGACCATATGGTGAGTGATAAGCGTTTAACAACATTCCACACGAAGAATAATACCTCAAATAGTAGAAGAACCATTTAAACATATAGAGACAAATACCTTAAATAGTAAAAGAACAATTTAAACATGTAGATACAGATCACCACATCCAGATGAATGGTTTAGCTGCTATCTACGAGAACTTTAGAGGCCGAAATAGGGCAAGACCCAATCTTCATCTGCACAACCAGAGGACCACAAGGAGGAGTTCTATTCCTACTAATGTGGAGCCTAACTGTATATGAACTACACAGATTGACTGACCTTGACATACCTTGTCAAATTATGCCGACGTCATATTTGCTAGAGGCAAATTTTGAAACATCCTGTATGGTACGTGTTCAAATACCATTTGAACACTCACGACATCAAACACCTCTATACATAAAAAACAGCGCCCATCTCTAATTCAACACAGCAAATAATTATTTACGCCCATATGCACCGTTTTAAAATTAATCCAGATTTGCAAATCTCGTTTAAATGACTAGTGGTTATTTTCTATGCACCGGCTATGGATTAGATAATCTAGTTTAGTAATCTGACAACACTGGATTTTTATAAATTTTACAAAAAAAACAGAAGAAGAAAACTTCAAATTTGGGAAGGAGAAATGTATGTCAATTGTCAAAGGATAAGAGGCCGTTGAAGATAGAAGTCTTATTTTTTTAAATGTACCAAAATCGTAAACACACCGTAAAACGCATACCGAATTTTACGCAAGGTGAAAAAGAATGTCAAATGTATTTAAAAAAAAATAATTCTATAGTTGGATGGCAAAACCATTAAGTTCATTTTTGGTAATTTTAACATATATACATACAAAGTGCTGTATTTCAAGCTTTTCTATGCAAAAGGATATACCTATATGAATACTTTCCCTACACTGTGCATGTTCAAAATTATATGGATATGATATATCAGTATTTAAAAGTGGACAAAATCACAAAAATATTATATGTATTGCTTACTTATTTTTACCTTTTTCAACATATCTGGGTTTGCCGTCTAACTACAGAATTATGATGTAACGTTAGAATGTAAAAAATCTCTCAAAAATGACAAAGTTTCCCATTATTTGCCCATCGTATAAACATATTCACTTCTCTCGTCATTTTTTCTAGAATCTTTCTCATCTTCCAAGAAAAGCTGGTATCTTTTTGACGTAATAAAATCTCGATTAACAATTTGATCCTCCGATATTGACGGATTAGAATAAAATCGGATTAAGAATGATTTTTATTACGGTGCATAGCTGAAACTGGTACTAAACGTGATTAAACCCTTAATCTGGATTAAACGTGTACGGTGCATACGGGCGTAAAGTCACAACGGGTATACTATTCACAATGCATTTCAACGATTATAGACACAATGGGTATTCTATTCATAATACACATCAACGTAAAATGGGTTGCATATCAACCAGACCAATCAAATTTAAATAATATTCAGTTATCGAGTGGAAAGGGAAAACAGGCAACAAATATATTTTTAGCGGTAAAAAACGGCAGATGGCCATTAGCATTCACCTTGGTGACATCTCAAATTTGAACCATTTACTTTTTAAATTGTAAAATATATGTACATTTACATTTATATATTAACAAGTTCTTAATGTTGGAATAAAGAAAGTTGTGCTTATGTTTGAAAGGGTTTTACTACAGTCAAGCTTCAACACCCAGGTTACCCGTCCACTCCACGAAGAAGCAGTATTTATAGGGTTAGCTCAAAATTACAATAGCTAGACCGCCAAACTAGAGAGGCGATAAGGTAAAGTACATAACCCCCTTATCGCCCCAATAGTACGCTCTTCTGATTGATCTGTCTATGATTTCTCCCTTTATGATTACTATCGAATTACTAGAAAAGAAAAATTTTTTGACATTACCTTCCATCTTTAAACGTACAGTTGGCTAAACACTGACGTCTAAATTTTAACACCGACCTTCTTCCTTTCGTCAGATCATCAAAGACTTGAAGAAAAATATCCTGTATTTTTCTTTTAATCTCGCTTTTGTCGTATTCCGAAAAAAATCTTTCTTCCTCTTTACAAACCATGGTTTTGTCCTTCAGAAGATTATTCAAACCGGTTCTTAGTTTATGTTCCGGTAAAGTAAGATCTCGAGAACCCGTAGACATTGTTTCGGAACGGGTTTCATCAGTAACGTAAGAGGAGGAAGTTGAAACGGAACTGTAACTTTTAGATCGATTAAATTTCGAATCGGGTTCTATAAAATTTTGAGTGAGCCCTTCAAGAACACTTTCTATGTTTAAATCTTCTTTCGGTGGTGGAGAAGTACAAGGCTTCTTAGCCTTTTTTAACCTAAAAAAATAATATGTATTGACAGCAATCGATTAAAGGAATATTGCCATCAGAATTATAGGTATTCAATCTTGTTAGGCTGAAAAAGTTGTAAAGTCCGATTACAATAAGAAGAACACCGCTACGTCATAACTATTATGTCGATTTTCCAATACATAATACATATCATCTAAAACTATCAATAAACAAGGAATAATATGTGAATTATTTGGTTTAAAAATGCTATTCCTATATTTGTATAATATTAACACACTAAACCTACAGTAGGCGGTGATGGGCAACGAATTACTCCGCCAATTGATGACGTAGTTGTGTTAATCTTATTCTAATCGCATCCTATACACCAAACTATAAACTGTAAAAGTTAGGTTAGTATTTCATTGCCTAAATTAGCTTAACCCACCAGTAGCGGCATAAATAGTTATTGGCGATTCAAGTTAAGCGATAGACCTTCTCTAAATACGTTTCTAGGTAGAGGTAGTAGGATAGCAAATGTTAATATCATCAGACCTATTCCGTTATTGATGATGTCTATTACTCATGGACAAAGCCTACTTCCTCTTAAAATCATCGATATTCGTTGTTATTGTTTCCTACCCTGAGTTTCAATTACACATCTGCAAATGTAATTTTGTTTTTTGTATTGGATAGTTAGTGCTTATGTTTATAATTTGATTTGGCTTTTATTAAGGATAAACAATGGACTTACGGACTTACATGGCCATCATAAGACCTCTGCATACGGTACAGTTGTCTGGATATCGAAAACCCAACAATTGTCAGCTATCCGGAAACTAGAATAAACTCAGAGAGCAGCATATCTCAATAGAACAAGGGATAGTACTAGAATGGCCACCTCAAAATTGATCGAAGATCACACCACATCGAAAGGTAACTGTCTTGCTGATTCACTATCCAAGAAGACAGCCAATCAAATACTTTTTAGACCTGGCCCTTCCATTGGGCTCATAATATCGGTAGTGACAAACCTAATTAAAGAAGATTGCCTTGTGAAATTAAAGATAAGATACGATCAAACAAGCAGCTGCAGAATTGGCAAGGAGCTTTTAAGTTATCCTGACAACACTGCAACACACAAATACTTGACTGCGACTAGACTGAATCTGCGCCTAATCACGGGCATTTTGACTGGTCATTGCCAAGTACGGAAGCATCTCCATTGCATGGGGGTATCAGAATCCGCACTCTTCAGGGGGAGCAAACAAGAAGATGAGATCATCGAGCATATTCTCTAAGATTCCCCGACGCTCTTATTTACTAGAAGATTTGTGTTTACCAATTGATATAAGAGAAACACCTCTTAGCGACCTTATCAACTACTTATATCAAATCTGTAGGATAACTCACAAGCTAGGAGGTGCCTATTAACTTAGGAGAATGCATAATGGGTCTAGTAAGGCCTAGGTGCCTTGAGGTAACCGATCCTCCACTTGTTACAGATACAATCCTAATGAATTGTGAGCCCATCATAGAGATGGTTCCAAGTTTTGAAACAAATTCCGATTCATCACTGGTTGGTTTATCGAAATCGATAGTGAATTACATATTTCTCCCGAGAAACAACCTTAGTTCACAAGACACATCTTAAAGTTATATTCAGAACCCTACTTTGACGACCGTTTTCGACACGAGACAGTTACACAAAGTCTATCAGACATTTGGTCCAAGTGCCGAGAGGTAAACCACCCTCCACACGTTACAGATACATTAAATGGTTGTTTAATACAACTCACAGCTGAGTGAACAATGCTCCATCCACTAGAGCAACATAAGATAATATAAAGCGAGGAAACGCACTATTCGGTCGGGGTCCTGGTGCATCGCGTGTTATGCTAGTCTCGACTGCACGCAGTGAAGTTATTTAAATAGGTACCGTTGTGCCGTGATAGGCTGTAAGAGAGAATCAAGAACGGCAGAGCGGAAGCCTTGCTCGAGAAGTAGTTGCTCAAACCTAACGGTGATTAGAGACGAAAAATTATTTAATATTTAATATTTGATTAAACATTTAAATTTTAATGATATAAACTAGTTAAATTTAATATGAAGATCAAAAAAAAACCAGACTTATATGATTCCGAAGTGCTCATCCCAGGCGAACGTTATTCAGAGAACCAAAGATGGCACAACAGAACCTGCAGTCTCTATAGGAAAATCTGATGTTTAATCCTAAGTGACCAATATCGCTAACAAGCGTTTTCAACGTTAGAATAAGACAAAAGATAAAGAAAAGTTCCATGGTTCCAAAGTAAGATTCTAATGAGTAAACATATAAGAGGTTTGGTTGCGAGGAGATGTCCACAGGGAGGGGTGCTTTCACCTCTACTGTGGAATATGGTCCCTGAACAGACCACGAATTTATTCGGGTTAGTCACGAAGCTTTGGCCGAAGTATTCATCAACAATGTGGTCACCTTAAGATGGATTAAAGGTCACGCCACATCGAAAGGGACCAGATACTAAGCCAATTATAAAAGTCTTACAAACAAACATAGATAAAGGAAGGGAGGCGATGGACCTACTATACAAAACAGCCGAAGATAAAAAAGCCAATATTATCATAGTCGCGAAACTAAACAAGAAAAAAGCTATTCAGGGAAAACTACATCTAGACAATAAAGTTGACGTTGCAATAATCATAGGAGATCCTCAAATAAAAATAGCGGATAAAGAAACTGGAGATGGATTCACATGGGTAGAAATAGAGAAAGTCATAATTTACGGATGCTACATCTCAGCAAATGTCAACCTAGAGATATATACAAACTTCCTAGAGGCATTACGTGAAGACATGAAAAGGAAGACCAAAAAAATAGTTGTTGGAGGTGACTTCAATTCAAAATCCGACCTATGGGGCTCTAACGTAGAGGATCGCAGAGGCCAAGTACTGTCAGAATGGCTAGCTGAGGAAGATCTGATCGTGCATAATCAAGGAAGCAATCCGACATTCATAAAGGGAAACAGCACATCCTATTTAGATTTCACCTTTAGCAAAAAACACCCCAGTAAAAGTAAAAATGTGGTTAATTGGAGGGTCCTAGAAGTAGAGACACTAAGCTATTACCAACACAAAACATTTTAAATATTAGAGAAAGATATAATGCATCCAAATTTCCCGCACTCTGCAGAGGGTGCAAACAAGAGTAAGACCATCGAGCATATCCTTTACGATTCTTTGACGCTCTCATTTATTAGAAGATTTGTATTCGGCGAGTATCGGCTAATACCGGCCGATATAAGAGAAGCACCTCTTGGCGACGTTGTCAACTACATTAAATCTGTAGGCTGGCTCACGAGCTAGGAGATGCCTATCATCTCAGGAGGATGCACAATGGGCCTAATGAGGCCTAAGTGCCGTGGGGTAACCCACCCTCCACACGTTACAGATACAGATGTTTGTTATTAAGATTAAATAGGTATCCATTGTGTAGAATCGATAAGTAATAGCATTTCTATTTGGTCGATAATTATAAAAAATTCGTTAATTTTAATAAAACTATATGAAGTTAATTTATTGTATTAAAGCAAATATTTTAAGAGCCTATATGGTGGTGAGATCAGAGCGCTTGTCTTCCAAGCGAAATCTGGACTAGGTACAAATTTTTTTTCATGTTTATTTTATTTTATAAATAGTAAAAGTCATAAATTATTTTTAAATTAGTTACTTATTTTATTTTTATAACCTAAAATAATGTTTAATATTTGTGGATATTCGTTAGTGGGTCGTAGAAAAAATATACTGTACAGCTCACGCGAATTTCCCATATCCACTGTAGTTGCACAAACTACTATTGTTGGTTACAACGTTCTTCCAGGGAGATCTTTAATTATCTATCTATCATTATTCATTTGTGTACCTACTTTACTTTTTATGAAACAAATTATAAGAAAATGAGTAGGTACTGAATATCTTACCTTTGTGGATTTGACGGAAATCGAACTGCAATTTTTATAAGTATTTTGAGAGCCCTTAGCTGCACATGAACTTCTATCACTTTTTAAACCAAGCTTGTTCATTTTTAGTAGTTTAAAAAACAATTACGCTATGCACAAACCACAAAAAAAATATAACACAACTGGAACTGGAAAAATAAAAAAAATCGTATTATAACAGATTACACTAGATACTCGACTAAATGTTTTTGTCATTTTTCAACAACCAAAATACATTAACTTAACTATTTTTTTGTTTAAAGTCGATATAAAATTAAATACAAAAAACGTTCAAATATCAACTTAACTCTAAAGTGAGCCACTACTGGTGGGGGAGGCGGATTAATAAAATTAGGCTAAATGCATTATACTTTTTTAGCTTTACGAAAACCATCATCATTGCTTTCATTTGTAAGTTTAAATCACATACTTCGATTTTTTCTTACTATACGGAGAATGGTCGCACTGCGCAGATATGAGTGCCTTTTAAAAGGAGATAGAAAACTCCGCCATTTTGAACACTTATTACGTGTTGCCTACATCTTGGCGCAATAGTTTTAGTAGTTATGTTTTTAATATTTACCTAAAGTCAGTCCCCAAGGATATTATTTTCCAACCTACAGTTTACAAAACCATTAACAGATAATGCATATCTTGAAAACCTTGCTTTGCTTGATGATTTTATGTTAAATCTTTCCATTTGTAAGTAACAGTTACTACTTTTAAAGTTGAAGGTGGTAGCCATGTGTGAGTTATAAGTTCAGAAAAGGTAAATCAAACGAGGGTGGTCCTTAGGATCTCACAAGAGTATATTTTATTACGACCGGTTTCGAGGATCAGATCCTCATCATCAGGTAAGGTCTAAAATAGAGAGGAAAAACGAATGAGCTCATAACTAATAAAGTGGGTTTAAACATTTTAATATGAAAGTTGTCAAATATCAAGAACTCACCCCTAATTACTCATCTATTTAAGACTAAGTTAAGAGAATTAATTATCCCAGGATCGGTGTAAAAACAAGTATGCGAGTATTTTTTAAAATACATAAAA